GTTGGCCTCCTTATGGACTTCCTTTCATTTTTTACCCCCTTACCATCACAAAGGTTTTAGTTTCCCTCTGCATCTGCTAACCACAATTATCAGAGAAGTTGATGGAACTTGCTGTGCTTATCTTTATGAGTCCTTGTAGAAACGTCAGTAAATCTCTTTTGCTCTCTGCAGGTTGCATTTTTCAATCAAATTAATTAGTTTATTCATAGAGAAGGAAATTTTCTGTTGTCCCTATGCCAGCTATCTCCTTGTACTTCCACAGTTGGAAGTTTTGACTTTTTCTTCTCTCTCCCTCACCTCCCACCATGCGAAGGGTATTTTGCAGCATAAAACAAAAATCATTTTGTCTATTCTTCTTAAGGTTTTGAACTTGAGCATGTCAACATAGTCTGGTTCTAATTATTTTATTTTAATTATGTAATCAGGAGCACTTAGTTCTTTCATTTCAATCTCATAAACATTGTTAAATATTTGTAACTGACCAATAGCGGCATGATTGTGCAAAAGTACTTTGTGGCTAGAGATATTTTAACAAATTTCTTTATTATGTTAGTTTTTACTTCATCACCAATTCATATCCATGAAGATACCATCATTGGAGAGGAAATAAATTAATAGGGAAATAATCAAATGAGAATAGAGTAAAAAGGAGGAAGAAAGGAGGGAGAAGCATCTGTTTATTTTTTATATTCCTTTACAAGCATATTTTTAAATGTTTCAGTGGAAAAAAATTATAACTGCAGGGGGTGACCGGTTAGTTCAGTTGGTTGGAGTGTGGTGCTCATAGCACTAAGGTTGCCAGTTTGATCCCCGCATGGGCCACTGTGAGCTGCGCCCTCCTTAAGAGTCAACTATGCCATTGTAGCATGAAAGCAATGTGTAACCAATGACCATGGCTGCTCCCCAATAAAATATTTTTTTAAAAAAAGAAAGAAAAAGAAAAAATTATAACTGCAGGTGTAATTTTAGTCACCCTGGTCATGTTCCCTTACCCCCATAGGAAATATTCACAAATCTATCCTTTGCAAAAAAAAATAATAATAAAATAAAATAGAACATGCTGGAGAAAAAAAAAGACTGAAAAATATAGATGCGACAAAGCTATATATATTGGGTCGTTGGAGAAGTCATGACGTATTTTTCCTATGTTTTTCATTCCAAAAATGAGACATGACTTTTCTGACAACCTAATATGGTTAAAATAATTAACCCATTTTATTTATAATGATGATCATTCTTCACATTTTGTAATAAGGTTGGCTTTGACAAACTACATTTTCATACCCTATTTTAGTCAATGTCTTTTAGAGGTGTTCCAGGCACACAGAGCTGCCATTTGATGAATAAGGAACTGATGGTCATAGAGGGGAAGTGTGTTGCCCCTGTTCACATGAATAGATGTTTGAGAAAATGAGACCTTATCTGTTAGGCAAATTAGAGTGGATTAGCAAAAGGTGCAAATGACAGCACTTTGTTACCTCTATATATTTAAAATTTCTTGTTTTGTTTGATAATTATTAATGGTTTGTGGGCTAAACAGTATTTCCCAGATACAACCTGTATGTATGAGGTAAGGATGTCTATTTCCAAAGCAAAAGCATCTTGACTGTTAAAAAGGTAAAAAAGGGAGTCAAGATGGAGAAGTAGGTAAATGCTGTGCTTATCTTCTCTGACAACCACATCAAAATTACAACTAAACTACAGAACAACCATCATTGAGAATCACCTGAAGTCTAGCTGAACCGAAGTCCTATAACTAAGGACATACAGAAGAAGCCACCTTGAGACTGGTAAAAGGGGCAGAAATGGGGAACAGACTGCTCCCACACCCACATGTAACTGTTAAAAATGAGGAAGCATATTTCAGCTGTGGAGGTCCCCCATGGAGGAGGGAGCGGTCCCAGCCCCACACTAGACTCCCCAGCCCAGGGTTCCACTGCCTGGGAGAGAAGTTGCCATAACTTCTGGCTGTGAAAACCAGCAGAGGTTGTGGCTGAGTGAGACAAGAGGCTAGAGCCCCAGGCACTCCTCTTAAAGGACCCGTGCACAGCCTTACTTGCTGGCAGAATTGCTTGCTCTGGGCTCCAGCACTAGTGCAACAGCTTGAAAGGGACCAGGGACATACGGCGAGGAACTGAATTGTCTGGCTTCAGGGCAAGGGATGGAGGGGCAGCTTTCTTCTGGACAGAGGCACTGGTGGAAGACATTGTTTCTTTGTTGAGCCCTCTCCTCTCTCAACAACTGCAGTTGCAGGTGGCAACCATATCTGAGGCTACCACCATTTGTTCAGCTGCCCTGGTGATTCCCTGAGAACCCACTCCACCCAAATTTCAGGCCCACCTAAGCCATTTCCAGTGGCTTTTCTATACAAACAGCATGTCTTAGCTCATGCTGCAGACTTTCACAGATTTTAGTTATAAGCTTATTTATATTCCCAATCAATTTTTTACTTTTGTTATAAGACAGCACTTAAAGAAAGAGTTCTAGCATGGCCTTGATTATATCTCATATGCCTAGACAAACCTTAATTATCATTCCTCTCATCATTAAATCTATGCTTAGGCAGGCAGGATGGCTTCTGACTGGGTGTATCCACACCCTGTCTTTGGAAGAGAAGAGATGAGAGATGCAGAATAATCCATTTTTGTTTACTAGCAATTTACTAGGCCTTCCTACTCCAACGTAATCATATATTTGAAAACAATAGGTGATGCTCCAAATTGAAGCTAATCATCAACATAACCAAGATAATGGAAATGGAACAGGTGACAATTTATTAAACCATTAAATAAAACCTAGAACTATCATATTTTTAAATACTAACAACATCCTATTGTCATAATCATCTTTTTGATTCCTTGAAAAAAAAGTCTATCAAAAATCAGGTCCAACACAGTTTGCATAACGGCTTATCTATTTAGAATTTAATCGACTTTTTGCATGAACACACACAAAGTTAGTAAAGTGGCATGGAATACTTACTGTTATTCATAAACTCACAAGAGATTCATGAATGTGCTTTGCTTAAATAATACTTTGTGTATTTCAACAAATTGATCAAAAAGACCATGTGCTACAAGTGGTTCCCTATTCGTGTTTCATTTTCAAAACTCTACATTTTCACAAAAGCTATGCCAGCTAAAAGGCTGCCTTTGCCCTCCTGATAAGCATTCTAAAAGCTAAAACACAAACCAACATCCCCCAACCTTCCATCAGGACAAACTATTTTTTGATGTTAATTCTAGCTAAGTAGTGATATTACCATTTGAGGTTTGTTCCCATCTCCAGTAAGATGAGGGTGAGGAAATGACACACATACACTGCAACGATTTTTTTCAATTAATCTTTTTAAAAATGTTAGAGTAACATGGAAAACTTGGGGTTTTAATTTAGGTTAAACTCACCTTTTCTTGCCACTCAGTCTCCAACTGCAAGTAATTGATTAGTATGAATAATTAATGCCATGTTGTTAGTCCTACTGAAGAAAAGGAATGACGAAGGATGGTGGTACTTAGCCTTCAGAAGAAGATGGAAAAAATAGAATGCACAAAGCTGAAGACAGTGGTACCACTGCAGGAAAAGCAGTAAAGGAGGAGGCTGGATTTTAAAGACTTCCAAATTTCATCTGGGGTTGCTTTTCTTAAGTTACACAGATTGGTGCAAAGCAAAGTTGTAACCTGAAGAACGTTGGCAATACAACCACGAGCAGGTGGCTCTATGTCTTATGATTTATAATGATAAACAGGAGGAGTAAATTAGTTGACCCTTGGGCAGAGGGGGAGGGCGAAGTCCAAACTCAATAGTTATAATGGTTATCATAATCCTCACCACACCAGTTAGTTGCAATCATCAAAATGATCATGGCAGGGGGAAATGTCAATATGCATAGACTAGTATTTTCTGGTTTATAATATCAGCATTTGTGAAAATTCTATTTTACATATGCCTTCCTTATTCTTTCAAAAGATATGAGCTCAAAAATGTTTATCCCCCCTCCCTATTGTCACACTATAATTTAGCACTGGAGTCGCAATCATCCCAGCATATCTAATGAGTTTCTTTGGTCCTATTTTAAAGCTTTTAATCTTCATAAATAATAGCTAAGTAAACTTAAGGCGCTTGGACAATTTCTTTAGCTTAATGTATTCAAATCCACAGTTGGCACTTCATTTCTTTTCATTTAAAAAATAAATCTATCTTGTCTCGATAGGCTCTCCATGAATTCACACACCTAACAAAATAAATCAAAGCAACACGTCGAGAATGATGAGATCTACTTGTTACATTTATAAGAAAAGTGCCATTTTCAGAAATATCTCAAAAATTATTTTTTTATTAAATCAGTATATATTCTCAAACTACTTCATAACCATAGAGTACTTGAATAAGGCTTTCCAAACATAGATGGGAAACTTTTTTTAAGAGAATTTCCATAAACATAATTGAAAGTGTTTAATATTTTTGAGCCCTTGTCCATTAGAAGTTTCTGTCAAGTGTACCTAATAGGTGATTATATACCTCGCTTTATTGTGCTTCACAGATGTAGCTTTTTTTAAAGTTGAAGGCAGGACTCTGTATCAACAAAAGGATTACACTCACTTTATTGAGATTCTCACCTTATTGCAGTGGTCTGGAACCAAACCCACAATATCTGCGAGATATGCCTGAACGTGGTTTCCTGTGAATACTTCCATACCTTCAATAGTCACATTTTAATGTGGGGGGGGGGGAAACTTGGATAACAGTGAATATGACAACAATCTGGCAACTTTTAAAACATAGTTCTGTAGAAACTGGCCCTTCTACCCAACATCTCTTCAATTACAAATGTGAAAACCAGAAAGTAACAGGTATGAAAAGCCAACCAAAATGTCCCCTGCAGAAGAGCTCTGTATGCTTCAGGAACAAACTGAGACTCCTAACTTCAAAAAGAAGCGGCATCAAAATCATAGCAACATTCCAAAATGTGTCGTTTTTAGAAATGAAAAACAAAGACTTACTTGCTTTGCTTCTCCATGCTAGCTACCCTGAGGCATTCCCATCTTGAATTTAGGAGATTCATTTGTTCTTGTACTTCAGTTTCTTCATCTTCTGATAATTTTCCGGTTCCGATAAGTTGACTTCCCAATTGTAGGACACTACCAACCCGTCCCTGATGGGATGTCAAATCCATCATGTACCCCTGAAAGGAAAGAAGTTGACAACAGTGATGAACACTTTAGGTAAACCATTATTCTTTCAAATTTTGGTTTTTTTTAATTTTAAATGTGTAGCTCATTTAAACTGTATTCTCAGTACAAGTATTTTAATTTTTATTGAAGAAAACCCAATACTGTTTTTAATATGATTAAGGAAAATAACGAGCTTCAGTCGCCTTCTATAGAAGCAGACCCTAAAATGAGGATTTGTGTGCAAGTGATTTATTAAGGAAGAGCTCCCAGGGGAAATGTGCAAGGGAGCTGAAGAATCAAAAGAGGACAGGGAAGGAAAGGGAAGCAAGTAAGTGTGTCATCTCAGAAGGAGTCTCCCACTGAAGGGAGGTCAGCCCGATACCACACAGGTACTCTGGAGTGTCAGTTATAGCTTAGCATCGCCTTGACCCAAGAGAAGGGAGCTGCCATTTCATATTCCTGTATGAATCACTGGCAAAATCAGATCTCAGCACCTTCAGATGGTGTTTTCCAAGGCAGAACTTCAAATGCTAGCTGTTGAGATCCAGCACAGGATCATTTATGTTTCCATCTCAAAATAAAAACAAAATTACCAAAATAACAGGATCTTCCAGAGTGACTGAGATAAAAAGAGAGACGTGCCACTATGACAAGTCGTGGGCTTTGTTTCATGAATCGATGTTTTGCTTTACCTCATGAGTATGAAACTGTTCTTTCACTTCTTCTACATTATTAGAAATCTCTCCCTGTGCTTGCAATGTGTCCTCAGCTGAGAGAAGCCATGAGAGTACTTCTTCTAAAGCTGTTTGGTAACTGTCCAGGTTTACTTCGGTCCCCATCAGCGGACTGCCAAATGACTTGTCTTCAGGAGCTTCCAACTGCTGAACAATAAAATAAATTGGGTGTTATGCAATTAGTATTTTTGCAGACTGTTCCAATACATTAAACAATAAAATGAATGAAATATTTAAAATGCTACAAACGTCCACTGCATTATCAGAGACATGAACAGCAGACACAAACAAGAGTGAGCCCACATTTTAACTGCCTCACCAACATACAAGCAAATTTTCAAACGGTAACCAAAATCTCCTTCCAATTAATATTTTATGAAAGCTCTTCTGGATTACTATAAAGAGTGAATTAGTACATCATCTTTTCATGCTATATTTTCAATGCTACAAATCTCCATCCATAGGTAACTTTTTTCAGTTCATACGTTCAATCTTTTACATATACATTATCGGTATTATAGTTATATATTTTGGTGATGGCATTAAAGGGAACATCTTCTCCCAAAAGCCACTAGGTAAAGAAATATTTCTGAAAATTTACAGAGCAGAAGAGTTATCGGTATGAAAGGAAGTGGGGACAGGGAGGTAAAATTTAAAAAGAAATACCTCATTGACACATCTGAAATGTCTAATAATATAATGACTTCTATGAATTAAGCCTTATCTCCAGAAGGCCACAGTTTAAATACAAAGACATTATCTTAGGAAAAGGAAAATATGAAGTATTTACTTCTAAATTGGATTAGCAGGATGTTAAGTGAGATGTTCAACAGTTGTCTTGGAAATTCTGCTGGAACCATAGAGCTGAGAACAAAGGGTACGAAGTATCCATAACTTGAAAGAGAAGGTCCGGGCCACCGATGAAGGAATTGCTAAATGGTGATCACAAAACTGGCCCCATAATCCTTAATCCACTACCTAGCTCAAAGGTGTGTAAGAGGGAGCAAGGTGATTGGAAAATTCTGATGAGAAAGATTCCTCTGGGCTGCTGTGCACGCCCATACCTTCTCCCCACCTCAAGCCAAGAAATGGAGACTTCAAGAGAATCACCAGTAGAGGATATAGTAGTTTCCAGGATGGCATGTTGACCTCTAAACCTGGGTGTGTGTTTGCAGAGATTCAGAAACGATGAGACAAGTACTACCAAGCACTAAGAGAGACCACTTGGGGTAACCAATGTGCCTGCTATTTTAACCTTAGGGCAACTATCAATGGTAAAAATTTGAGCGAATAAGAAAATCTGCCTGACTTTCATGTTTGGGTCAAGTGCGCTCATGCCAGGTTGCTGGGCTACAAAAACCTAGCTAAGATAGTAGAATGCGCTCACATAAGGTGAAGGACTGCATTCCAGAAGGTTTCCTGCTGAGGTAAGGAACACAGGCACTGCTGGCATAGGAGAAGAGAAAAAATATTGGAGAGGGCCGGCTGGGTGGTGCAGTGGTTGGAGCACGAGCTCTGAGCAATGGGGTCACTGGTTTGGTTCCCGCATGGGCCAGGGAGCTGCGCCATGGCTGAGCTACCGCTGGGCTGCCGGCAGGCGGCCAGATGGCTCAGCTGTATAAGGCTGCCTGTTTGACTCCCACATGGGATGGTAGGCTGTGTTTTTCCCCCCCATCCCCCTGCAACTGGACTGGGGGCGGTGACTGGACTTGGAGTTGGGCTTGCACCCTCCACGACTAGGGATGAAGGACAACTTGGCTGTTCCCCTTCCCCAATTCCCCAACACTGTTCCCCTCCCAGAATTCCCCAATAAAATCTTTACCAAAAAAAAATAAATAAAAATATTGGAGAAATACAGTAAAACCTTGGATTGCAAGTAAACATGGTTTACAAGTGTTCCTCAAGACAAGCAAACATTTCTAATACATTTTAAAGTGGTAAACGAGTGATGTCTTGCAATATGAGTAGTTTGTTTCCGGAACAAATTATGCTCCCAAACCAAGGGATTACCGTATTTGGAGAGGAATCTTCTGTATACTCCCAATTAAGCAAGCAAGCCCTGGGCCCTATCAAGCAGCGTTTCACAAAGAAAACAAAAGGCAGTGTAGAGCCATTAGAAGCTACTGTGGGAAATTTCACAATCTTGCCTAGAGAAAACCCATGCCATCTGTGGTTCTCCCCTGGCATGTATACTTTTAATTTCCAGTCCCCTTCAATGCTCAGCCCTATCCCACTCAACTGCCAACACCAACTTAATTGTGATCTTCTCATAAATGCTCCAATATGGAAACTTCAACATTATCAATTTCTCCAACTATTAAGTCCTTTAAGATGGCAGAGCATGATGGCAGTCTTTGGTGTGATAGTTTCATCAAAGGATGCTCTCTTTATCTGTTTCTAGAGAAGTGGCAGAAATATGTCATCCTGATAAGTCAAACTCACCCAACTCTGGTATCTCACCCAGGGCATAAGTGTCCCAAGAGGGCTATCTGCAAGGGCCCTCCCCAAGGTCAAGGCAATTTCTGAAGGTCTTAGGGGTTATAACAAGTTCCATGGTATAAGCCCTTCTGCTCATCCCCAAACACTATTAATAAAAAATATCGAAGTCAGCATGAAGAGGGAAAAAGTCACAAAAAGGCGACCTGGGAGATATGTGTAGATGGGACTGGAGTCACGGTTGTGCGATGTGAGCAGGTGCACAGTGCCCAAGCCTCAGAAGGACCCCATTTTTGTTTTATCTGCTTCTTGACATGGCAATCTTAAAATTCTTTATCATTTTATCTTTGAACTTGGGTTTTGTAAGCAAAGTCCAATGGGGTGACAAATGGACATGAGCAACGGATATAAGTGCAATATGTGTGTCTGCCCCATTTTCATCTAGTTTTTTTAATGTCCCATGAGCACAGAATTTAGGTAGACCCACAATATGTGCCAATTTACCGCAACTGAAGCAACTACAAGATAAGTGTGTTATGTCATGACTGAGGCAGGGCACAAACAGCCCCAGGGAGTCATGCTTTTTATTTGAAACAGAGTCGGCCCCAAAGACAGAAAGAAGGAAATTCTAAGAAAACACAAACAACCAAGGAACCCTATCATATCCTTGCTCACTCGTGTTTCTTCCTTGTATTAGCCAACCATTTATGCTGAAACTGATTACATAAAAAGGGAAAGATGGGGCGACCCCTAATTATTTTTCCTTTCAGTCCTTCCTTATTCATCAGTAAGCTGCAGGTAAAGAATATTAGAACATGCACCTATCAAAAAAGAAATAAAAACAGCTGAGTTGGCTGTGCAATGTTGCCATGTTAAGAATGAAATACATATGTACAACCTACAAAATATAAATGATCTGATAACAGTGATTTTGCATGAGTTACATTCTCTTACATTGACATTTACAACTGCAATTGCACAATATAACAATAAGCTTTAAAACTCATGATAATACTTCAAAATTTTCATTTTCTTCATTCGGTATTGTTAAATAGCAAAAAACACACCACGGCAAGTCAAAAGAGAGGCTGTGGAAAATAAAAAAATAAAAAATAAAAAATAAGGGGGGGCTGGCCAAGTGGTTCAGTTGGTTAAGAGCACAAGCTCTGAAAAACCGGGTCACCGATTCGATTCCCATATAGGCCAGTGAGCTGCGTCCGAGCTGAGCTGCCAACAGGCGGCAGGATGGCTCAGCTGGTGAGAGCACGTGCTCCTAACAACAAGGTTGTCGGTTCGACTCCCGCATGGGATGGTGGGCTATGCCCACCCACAAGTAAGTTTGAACACGGCACCTTGAGCAGCGCGGCCGCGAGCTGCCAATGCGCTGCCAGATGGCGACTGGACTTGGAGCTGAGCAAGCTGCGCCCTCCACAACTAAGATTGAAGGACAACTTGTCTGTTCCCCTTCCCCCAATTCCCCAACACTGTTACCCTTCTCCAATTCCCCCAATAAAATCTTTTTTTAAAAAGCAGCTTTATATTTTAGTAAGTTGAACAGCACTTTCTTTCCTGCTTTTTGAACAAGGGGCTCTGTATTTCATTTTTCACTGGGCCACACAAATTATGAGCCAGCCGTGTGTGTAAACGGGAAACAATCCAATCCAATCCTGGATGTTGTGCCTTCTCCTGTTACAGGTGAGAGTTGACTGGAGCTTTATTATGCATAGAACATGGTTGTAAACCCCAGAGGATTTAGAGGTAAACAGTCCATGTCTGAGCCTTGACTCAGGCCTGAGGTCTTGTCACCCTGGGAAAGTTACTTAGTCCTATCATAAGCCTTAGTTTCCTCATACAAAAAATAGGAACAATAATACTTCCCTAATAAGATTGTGGAAAGAATTAAAGGAGAGCATATAAAGTGTTTGGCAGAAAGCCTGACTGTGTAAGAACCCAATAAAGTGTGTTAAGCTGTAATTATTATTAGATTCTTGTATACATAAGAACCATTTTGAAACACAGTCTGCCCCAAGGTTACCTACCGAAGTCACTTTCCAGATTTCAAGAGCCAGACAATTATTGTAAGAAAAAATGACCCCCAAAAGTTTCTAAGAGCAGACACTGATTAAATCAAACCTTTCTGAGTCTTAAACCTCAACCTAGCTCCTATTTAAAAGTTCTAAAAAATCATTAATGACCTTGAGTTCAGATAATCTTCAAATGATAAATTGCAAACAACACTGTTACTCAAGTAACACAACACAGTATATCACCCTTGTACAATGTGGATTAAAAAATAAACACTTTATGATTTGCTGATATTTATAGAGGCTTGAAGTTTTGAAGAAAATTTTAAAATGTAAATCTTTATCTTTGAGGATATGATGTCCAGTACTCATAAATTGTGAATCTAAATGTGTTGTCCGAGGATGTTCATAAAACAAAAATTTTGCAAAGACAGCCTCATTCAAGTTAAATTCAAACATGAATAAGCTGGGTAAAATTATATAAAATAACTCAATTACTATTTATATCCATAAATTTACCTCTACAAATACATATGATTATGGTCAAAATTTTCAGCTCGACTCAGGAATTCTTTCTTTGTCTAGACGATTGTTTTTGAAATTGTAAGTCATGATCCATCAGTGATTCATGAAATCATTTTAGCAGGTCATGGCAAGGGATATTTTATTTAAAATTAAATAGAATAT